ACTTTCCTGTAAGACAAAAGTTTGAGTCACGTGGAGACATCTTTGCCACATTCTGTGACTTCAGGCGGTTGCGGCTGCCTCCACATAGCTGCTAATAAACCCTTGCTAGTTACATAGCTAATTTTTTAGTGTCTATCATGGGTAAGTTAATTTATCAGCAGTTGGCTGGACAACATTAGTCTTTGCCGTAGCAAACCTGTATGATGAGAGGTGCAATCTGTGCAAAAAAAACCTTGCCACTACATTTTTGTTGTGGAAAATGGCTTAAATTTCATTCATAATGGTCTTAAAAAGTCTTAAATTTCAGTCTTTGAAACCATCAGAGACCTCGTAAATGTGAAATCGGGACGTGAATACTTTTGCACCACACTGTTTTCCCATCTTCAGTAGCAGTAGAGATAAAATATGTCTGTGTTCCTTTTTTGTTTTTATTCAGATGGATGGAGGTGATCAAGAGTGCGGCGAGCACCACAGGCCGGATCAGCCTGCTCATACCTAAAGGTGGTCCCGGGGAGATCAATGGAAGCTAAATGAAGCATTATGCATCCTGAGGCTGGGCCTCTGGGAAAAATCACATTATTATTTCTAAGTTCAGTTTTTGAAGAATAACAATTGGAGACTGAAAGATGCTGCCAGATTGAGTGTTTATGTTCTCAGCTTCTTTCTAATATGTGTGCATTTTTGTTTTCCTATTAGGTATATAAATAATAACAAACATCTCAGTATAAGGGATATAATGAAAGGGAGATGTATACATTATGATCTATTTTTGTGACTTTTTTTCCCCTTTTTTTGCATGTGTAGTGCCCAGTTTGATTATTTCACGCAAACTGAAGGTAAATCCAGTTTTATGGGACCAGCCTCATTTCAAAGGGCTTAAGTTTTCTGCTTTTGAAAGGTCATCACGCGTGAAGATTGAAGCTTTACTTGGTACATGTTTGGGATGCGGATGAAGCGCGGCATGTGGGACATGAAGGTGCAGCTAGGATGTGCTCTGCGTTGTATTTCAGGGTGAGCTAAGACGTGTTTGAGGGCGAGCAGAAAGTCAAAGTCATGTCGAACAATTTGTCATCGGGGACGAGAGGTTTGGAGGTTGCTGCTCTGCTGACTCAGACTGAGCAACTAGTATTGCTGGAAATAGGAGGATACATTAAGTGTGTCTGCTTCTTAACAGAATAACAGTTTCAGTTGTTTACAGGGTAGATGTTCTGTTTTATGCCCCAGATTAAGCTGCATTATTGTCAATTGGGTGCTATATTTCTCTCTGAGCTGTCGACTAATGAAATCTATCCTGTTTTAGTTTACATAGGGATAACCTGTCAGCAGCATACTGTGCAGGGTTATCTAAGAGTGAAGGTTTTCCCTTTAATAAAGCTGAAGAACATGTTGAGCTCCTCTTATCAGGCTGTTTTAGATAAACAGGAGTTGATTTAAAGGAGGTACGACTGACTGAACAGCTGATTTAGTTTGGTAAGAGAAATAATGGTATTGTTTGGTTTATATATTTTCTGTGAAGACTGGAATCTTTATCCTCTGTGTGTGCGTGTGTGTGAGGAGGGGAGGTACTATCCATGTACTCTTATACCTCCGCCTCTGGGGCCTCAGAAGAATGTGACGGAGGCCATCTCCTGCCCGGTAGTCATTTCTGCATGTGTATGAACCTGTTGCCCAGGTAACCAACAGTGTGTCTCACCTATTTATTGTCATCAGCGGTGTTCCTGAAAGCCCTCTTGTAGACTTCATGTTATTCCACTGAAAAAATAACAAATAAAACTGAATTTGACTGATTCTTGAGTTGCTTTTTTCTTGTTTGGTTTTTGACTGAAAGCTGAGGTATGTAATTTTTATTTAAAAAATATGTTTTCTTACATATTTGCTAAAGCAATTACCATGTTGTCTGTATGTTATGAGACAGATAATCCTTGAACTGCTCCACCTCCTCCCTGAGCCACTATTGCCTTCTGAACAAATGCATCACACCTAGTCAAAAACAACCAATCAGAGCCTGGAGGAGGGTCTTAGTGCTGGCAATCAACCTTGTGAATGCACATCTAAATGTGGTAATGGTGGAGAAATGACTCATCATTACAGGAAAACCATTTGTATCCCGACATAGACATATAATTTACCATTGGGATAGAGTATTTCTGAATTGAGTTTGCCACATGCAGAACGCAGACTGTTGGATTCTCTTGCAGCTGAAAGACATTTCAGCATCACCTCTTCATATTTTTTTGGAGAAATATCAAATTTAACTTTGGTGACTACCTTCTCTATGGCATGATCTGTATTCAGTACAATACTTGTGGAACCTGACAGAAAAGTTGAATCCCTTTGTTTCTTAACTTTTCTGCTAGCATTGGCATCAGGCTTAGCATAAGTCCAGAAGCTCCTGCAAGGACAAGCCTGATCTGTGTGTACAGTTCCTCAACATTCACTCTAAAAGATTGTAGTTTCTTCCTGTAGTTGCTTGTTTTTCCCCAGTTACAAGATGAATGCCATAATGAATGCTGGGTAAAGTTTTGAGATGATTCATCGTCGTCTCATTTCATTACATCAGAAGCGGAGGTGTGTACCCTTTTTTAGAGACCCTTCAGTGCTGTATCCGCTATAAAATGTTCTGTGAATAATCTTCCAGTTACTGTTGAACTTTGCCTCTACAGGATTGTCAGGGCTGCTACGCATCTGATGTCAGCCACTCATAAACAAAACAGGGCATTCCTCTGGCATGTCCTGACAGCAGCGAGTGGGAGGAAGTGGCTTTCCCCAGAAGCACCAATGCTGGCAGGGAGATCTGCTCCAACAGGTTTCTGCCCTGGCGTGGAGGTAATCACAGCCAGACTGGAGAGTGTTTTCCTTCCAAACAAGGAGGCTGCTGCGCGAAACCCCATTAGCTGGGTGTGGTTCAATGGGACGACTTCAGATGTGCACGTTTGTTTGTGACGATGCCTTTGATTACTTGAATTATGTATTAACTTTTTACTCAAATTCAGGGGCTTGAATTTAACAGTTAAGATTATAAGGCATGCTGCATTCCAGAAATCATTAGCATGCTAAGTCTTATCAACAATGCATAATTAGGTCAGTGAAGATAGCTATGTGAAATCCAATAAAACTTGAATAAACTGGCTAACTGTTATAGTATTGACCCAGGTGGTGGTGCTTCCTGCCTACAGCGCCACCATCCACTAAGACTCCCTGAAGATAGTTGGATGATACGAGTTGCAACATTTCGCAGACGTGGAGCTGCTGCAGGTAATGGAGTCTCTCTTTCACTTTCATCATTACAGGGTCATTAAAACAGATTCAGATGAAACAAAAATAAAAAGCTTCACCTGCAATAAAGTTTTGAAAGTTATGCACACAAAAACAGGTTGTTGCTTTAAAAAAAAAAATTACCAGCAGAACTTACAATGTTGTTGCTGCAGGTGCAACCAATCAGATCACAGCAGCAGATCGGTAACAAATGTGAGTTGGTCTTATTAATCATTTGATTTCTTTCATTGGGATCCAGTGCTGTGGTCTCTCATGCTTGTGTCACAGAAAAGAGGGGAATCACCATAGCAACCAGTGATTTAATACTCTCGGAGTGTTTGATTCTTACGTTAGTCAACAACTTTCTCTTTGTTTTAATCCATCATGAGTGCTGCTCTGGACAATGCACTGCAAGAACTGTGTGGAGCTTACATTGAAAATTAAGGGAGAAGCTCCATAGTTGTTGCATACAGGAAGAGGATTTTCAAAATAAAACTTTATAAAGTAAGAGTGTATAGAGCTTAACTTATTACAAAACTGGGTCCAAATTCCTGAGGACCTTGGAAAGATAAAGTTGATGCATGACGATCGTACTATTCGTGAACAATTTGCCAATTCGAGGATTTTCTTTTCTAGCACATGTCTAAAATATTCTAGAGAAAATACAGCACGGAAAGTGAAACACCTAGCCGCAATGCTACTTGACATGCTATTAGCTGGTGTTTGCTGAATAGCCAATCCAGGAGCGAGATTCATTACCTTTGCGCTAACTGGTTGCTCTTAACGGCATAGAAGAAGGCGTTTGAACTTTTAATAGCTAAAGGTTTTTTTAGAGGGGACCAGAACCTTTCTTGCAGTAGACTCTTAGTATTCTCATTGAGCATTCAACTAGGGTTACCACCTTTCAGAAATTAAAATAAGGGACCAGTCCCTACATATGTAGGGTTGCCGTCCCGTAAAATACGAAATCGTCCCATAATTGGCTGTTAGATGTAGCGTCCAGTACAAAACAGACACTGGACGCGATGTTTTCCGTATTCTACAAATGTGTATATATAATAACAAATAAGTTGTCCCCGAGTACTTCATATAGTAGGTTGCCCCAGTCATTGTTTGACTCACGGTGTTGATGTCGCGATATTGTGCCCAACTGCTTTCTGGGTAACACAAACTAACCGACATGCTGCCGCCGACGCTACATTTAACAGCCAAATACGGGACGGTTACGTATTTTACGGGACAGGTGGCAACCCAAAATTCAACAGTAGAGGCCAAGCTTCACCATCACAACAACATTAAATCATTTATTCTAATGGCGTGTCGAAATGTCATGTTTTTGTTCTTCGTGGCCCCGCGCCCTTAAATCTGAGTGACGTAATAAAGTAGCTGAAATTTCCATCGTCCCTTTTTCTACAATTTCCAGAAGCTGCCATGGTGGATGTAGTTTTTATTAAAACTGTTTTCACATAGATATCCTGTGACATTTGCGTCTTAAGAATCCCCAAAATTATTTTGAATCCATCAAGCTACGAGCTAATGTCAGTGACTTGCTGTGTTTCTGCAGCTTTACCTCTTATTAAGAGAAAGGGAAACTAACAATCAGTGTGGCCTCCACCTGTCATAAAGCTTGTTAATGATTAACGAGTTTCTGTGAGAGAGAGAGAGAAAGTGTGTGTGCGTGCGTGCGTGAGTGTGTGGCGGTGCCGATGGGCGGGGCTTATAGTTGCTGCTTATCTCCGCCTTTGGACTCCACAATAAGTGCCCTTAGAAGGAAAGCCCGTCAGTCTGCGAACAGGGGAGCATTTTTTATTTTTTTGGCTCAGACTGACTTCAGCTCCCCTGCTTAAAAACAACAGAAGCAAAAACTTCGTTATTAGATTCACTTCTCTGCTCCGCTACAAGATTTTTTATTTATCATTATTTTTTGCATATTACCGTTGGACTCAGGGTTTTTTTTTCTTTCTTTTTAGGTAAGTGCAGCTTGTTTTAATATTAAAACGCCTTCATTGATTAATTCAGAACTTTTACCTGCTGTTTTTGTGTTGTTTTTTTCTTTTTCTTTTTCCAGCTCCCTGTGTAAACTTTGATTGGTTGCGACTGTAGCTGTGAGTTGTATCCAGGCTATCAACCCACAACCTAATCCGTGTGTTTGTTCTGCAGGATAATCTCCGCAAGTCTGTATCTGATAATAGCAGCAGGAGATCTGCGGTGCGGTGGTGGAGGGTGAGAGCGGGGGAAAGTTGATCTGCTGAAGCCGCGCAAGAAGCGGCAGCGGCGGCTGCTGCTGCGACACTCGGGGACATGGAGATGCTGCGGCGCTCCTCCGTGTTCGCGGCCGAGGTGTTCGACCGGTCGCCCACCGACAAGGAGCTGGTGTCCCAGGCTAAATCGTTGTGCAGGGACTACATCCACTCCAGGCTGAACCGCGTCGGGATAGGCTGGTCCAAACCTGAGCAGGGAGTGGCGGCGTCGGGAGGAAAGCTGGCGGAGGTGTCCCTGGTGGTTCAGTGGCTGTGTGAGTCCGTCATGCTTCCTACAGAAGTTTGGGTCGGGATCCATCTGGGATCCTCTGCAGAAATCCAGCTGATAGAACTGGAATTAATATGGTGCACTGCATTTATGCTATAAACATTTGACTAACTGGGACAAAAAAAAAATTCTGACTTGTTTAGGAAAACCTTTCACAACAATCTTTCATTCTGGAAGAAAACTATATTGAAACTAAATAGAAGTGTGGAGAATTAAAAAAAAANCAAGAGAAAAAAAAGCTTAAGATTAAATTAAATCTAATGTTAATTGTCTGGAAAAGAGGGATTAGAAGGAAAAATAGCCAACAAAGCTGAATCCCATGTCGTTTGTTGATCTGTATACGTTGCCATGTTTATGCAGTTAACATGTCAGCAGCACACTATTTTTTAAGTATAAAATATCATGCCAAATGTGCCTCACTAGTAAAAACAATTCTAAAGGATTTCATTCTTTGATAATGCTTTGCCTATTTATTAGCAAAAATGTAATAATTTTTTTTGCTAATAAATACTGTTTTAATTTAGCAGAAGCTACAAAATCTTCAAAGAATAATCATGAGCAGCATAATATTTATTTATAATACACTATGTAGTGATACTAACCACTTCAAGGTTGTGTTTGTATGTAAAATATGCTACCTGACAGAATACTTACATTTATCTGAGGCTCTCTCCTGTCGTTTTGTCCAAGTGTTTACCTGAAAAAATCTCCTTCTTCATTAGTAGCTATGAGGCCATTCTCTTTAGCTCCGCCCCTTACTCCATGTGTCAATTTATTTTTAAAATATGAGACAATGTACAGCATAAATTAACCACTGAATGAGAGCTGCACTCTACCAGGCACAAACGCACAAACATTAAATTATTCTAAGCCTGTGTTATGTGAACAAACTCGATTGGAGGAGCTGCCATTTTGCCATATTTATAGAAATCCGTTAAGTTGGCAATTTACTAAGAAAATGCTGACTGAAACACAGCAGGAGGAGCTCAGAGGTAGAAAATGATTCAGTTTTCTGATATGAAATCATGTTCACCATTTGCTCCAGGTGAGACGTCGTTTTGGGATGTTCTGAGCGACGGTCGCCCGCTCCGGTCCCACCATGTGACCAGTGTGAATATAACCGAGTCGTTTTTGGTGCTGAGATAAGAAATGTTGCCTGGATTAATGAATAAAGGCAACAAATCGTTTATGTCCTCATCGGTTATAAAATTTGAGCTCCCTGATTGGTCCTCTGTCTGACCTCATCTCACCTGCAAAAAGAAAAAAATAAAAGTTTTTCCCCTCCACACCGATCCGATCGTTTGTTTTTCTCTGCCGGGTTGCTGGCGGCGCCAGGTGCAGCTCACATGTTTTCACCTCAGACACTTTTGGACCAGAGAGACAAAAGTCACAAGACAAGGGGACTTGTAATGAATTCCCCTAAATTTACACTAATTGTCCTAAAATAAAGTCTAGTTTAAGTTAATTAAAGCTAAAAATGACCACAGATGGATAAGTAGATCTTTTAAAAACTGTAGAAAAAGATTGTTTGAAGGTGGAGGGGATCTATGAACCTCTCGGTGAATCTGCTCTCTCAACTTAGTGACAGTACCAGAAATGGTTTGGATGTGAATATATTGCAGTGGATTAAAGCTGCATCCTTGATGCTGGTGATGATTTTTTTCCTGCTTTAGACATGTACACTGAATCAGTTTGTGTCTTTTTAACTGTTATTTCTTGGACTGACTTTTTTATTTTATTTTTTTTATTAGAATAGTTTGACAGGAATGAGAGTAAAGAGAGAGGTGTTAAAGCAGGTAGTCAGGGAGTTGAACCTGTGACCTCCGGCATGAGGACTAAGGCCTCAATATGTGGGATTTGCTTTGCCCCTGCACCACCACAGCATCCCATGGATTGGGAATGTTTAAAGTGTATGATCTCTGTTAGTGAAATTGTATAGTCTGTCTATTTAGATGAGAATTCTGGGTTATTTTGAGCATTGCGTAACGTATTCCACATTTTTATTAGTTAGATAATTGAGACAAAATGCAGATTTTTTTATTTTATTTCTTTTAATACTAATCACTCATGATTAGCATTAATCATGAGCGATTAGTTTTTGTTCTTTCTTTCTTCCCAAAGAAAGAACAAAACAAAGGTGACGCCAGTGTGGGCAGGTCTGGCGAATAAAAGTCAAGTGGAATCCAGTTGCGTTCGAGTCACATTTCAGAGGCATGCAAGGAACGCGTTGAATTTCCAGTGAAATCCCTTCAGAGGAATCTTTCTCTTTAACGTACAGGATTAATCAATCCTTTCTCCTCAGGAGTAATTTCTAAATGCAGAAAAAAACACAGTAGACCAGGTTGTTTCTGGTTAAGGTATTGCTTTACGTTTGTGGTTATGACTCCACCTCTGTTTTAGGGTAGGAAATTCACTTGAAGCCATATATGTATGTGCATGCGTGCGCGCGCGCGTGCGTGTGCGTGCACGTGTGTGTGTGTGAATTATGTTTAGTGCTGAAAATCTGCCCTCAGATTTTGACAGAAAACTTCAACCTTCTTTAAAAAATCTTCACTTTTCTGTTTTATAATATAAACATTGGAGATGAGTACCGCTCTGATATTCACAGTAAATATGTAATCTCGGCCTCTCTGCAGGATAAGTAATACGGTGAACCGATAAACGGCAGGAAAATCCACTTTGATTCACCGCGTTTTAAAGTCGATAATTAACCGAGCTGTGTCCCGGCATCCTTCCTTGATCCATCACATGTTCTGTGTCTGCCGCTCACTTGATCATTCAGATGGTCCAGGCGGCTCATCCTGCAGCTGCGTGGATGTCTTAGAGTCAGTCCTTCATCTGAATCTGCCGTTAAAGCAGGTAGACTGGATGGCCAGGTCTGGCTGCAGCTGCAATTCCCTGAACAAATTAGACTTACCTGAAATACATTTCAATTCCCCGTGTTGCAAAGCCACTTACTCATTTGTTTTTTTATCCCGTAGAACAGTGTGCTGTGGTTGGTTTTTCTATTTCTTCTACATTTTGAGTGATTCAGTATTTCATCATGACAAAAACTCGCTTCCTAAAGAACGCCTTTGGTGACAACCCACTGGGCAGCTGGCCACCGATGTGTTTTTCTGCTTTATTTTTTTCTTTTTTTAATTTTGTTTTGCGGTTTTTCAGGTGTTGTTGTAAAAAGATGATTTGCCATCATTTTTGTTATTGAATATTTTGAGAGTACCTCTTTGTATATAAGTTTTTAGCTAAATTCCTCCTGTAATGGTGTTTACTTGTTTTCTGTGAGGTGAAGAAATTCTATCTATTTCAGGAAAAATTGGCATCAGTAAAATAATGCTGTTCACGAAGAGGATCAGGACAAACAGCAATGGCTATGTTTTATACCAAGCTGAGGAGGTATAAAAATCCAACAGGCTGGTCTGTGTGTCATGTGACCTTTACAGAAATGAATACAGAGTCATTTCTACGGAGCTAAATTGGTGTCCTAAACTTTGTTCAAAAGGAAAAAAATGAAACTGAAAGAAGTTTCAAAACTGAAAAAAGGATTTGAAACAGGGAAAAAAGCAATCAGTTTCAAATTGTTTTTCCTCATGAACAAACTTTATGGATCCAATCTAGCTCCATACATTTCTGCTCTCAGGCCAGCCAAATAAAACCTTAGAGCCGTAAATGTTACAGGACTTTTTGAAAAAAGACAACTTTACAACTTTCCTAATTTTGCTGTCTTCTTTAACAACAAAAATTGTATCCCTTTTTTTTCTGATTTTAAAATAAAAATAAACATAAAATTTAGTAAAAAGAGGATGAATTTTCTGATTTGTGGAAAAGAAAGCAAATATATTCTACATAATTTCCAAAAAACAAATCTAAAAACCCACTACTGGTTCTCTTGGTGTTACTCCCTGTAGAAATTAAATGCAAATATTGCAAAAATAAAATGATGAAAACCTGCAACTCTTATTACATCTATATTTAAAAACATTAGTTAGTTCTTTATCCTTTTTAGAGCTTGCCGCCTCAATTGCTAAAAATGACGTTTACAATAAGACCTTTACAAGATTTACAATAAGCCCATTTCCTCCAGTTAGCCACATCATGCTAGCACAGTACAGCCTATGCTATCGCTATCGCTCCAGTAAGCACCAAGAGGAAGAAGTAAGACAAAATTTATCCCCCAGCTGTCAGACAAGTTGTTCAGCTGAGGATTGAACTGTGTGTTTCGAGTTCATAGAGATGCTAGCACAGTTTCACTTTCCTTCATTTTACAAACCACAAATATTACCCCAAAAAACAGACTGAAAGGTTATCTGCAGAACCCATTAGAGCTGCAACTCAAATGCTGCAGAATTTATATTAAAAAAATCAATTAAAAGCCGCTTGACCACCATAGCATTTGCTCGTGCTAGCTGATCAGCTCCAGTAGTTTCTTTGTTTTAGTGCATGTTTTAAAAAAAATCATCTACATATGCTGTGAAATCCAACCTTACCTGTGTGTTAGGCGTTGAGAGGATGGGCCGAATGAACTCAGATTGCTCTGTTCCGACCAGGTGAGGAGTTGGAGTTCCTCCGGCCCAACATTTACCGCAACGTGGCCCGGCAGCTGAACATCACGGTGTCAGTGGAGGGCGTGGTGTCTGACGCCTTCATGGCTATCGCTGCGGACGTCTTCTCAACAGGTGTGTCTTCCTTTTACTGGGATTTTATACAATAGACCAATTTAAAGTAGTGCATAATTGTGAAGCCGAAGGATTACATCTTGTGTTAGGATGTCCTACTTAAAATTCCAACCCTAAAATTCAGCTGGGAAATGGCAGTATGACTTCAACATTGATGACAATATCTCCATGCAGTTTGACTCTGATAGTTATTTTGCAAAAAATAATGAGCAAAAAATAAATGGGGATGCACGATATATCGGTATCGGCTGATTTGAGTTATTTTTTAAACATATCGGTATTGGTCCAATGAATAAAACTGGTCTAATATTAATGACCATGTTTGTATTTATGACTGTATTTATGGGGAAGGAGGGGTGACAATGTGATATTTGTTAATTCATTCATATAGGTATTTATTATATCTGTAAATATTGGTTATCGACCATAGCAGCTGTATAGTATCAGACATTGATATCGGGCCAGATTTTTGAATCGGTGCCTCCCCAAAAAAAAAAAAAAAAAAAAAAAATCTAATCTGTTGATGTACAAAGCTGTAAAAGCTGTATAACAGATCTGCAGCTGTGAATACAGAACAAAGCTGGTTCTACAGAGTTTCTCTTTGGATGGCTGAATATGGACCCATGCCACATTTTTCAGACTTATAAAACCATGCATATTTTTTTTTTACTTCCACTTCTCTATTCTACATCATTTTATGTTTGCTTGTCATAAAATTGCAATAAGATGCACTGAAATTCGCCCGCAGGTGGATCTCAAAGCAGTAATGGTGAATAAATGTTTCTCTATTTGGAGAAACTCCTTTTGGAAGGAGGAAGCTCAGAGTATCAGGCAAACACAACGAAGATACAGAGCAAATGGGGAACTCTTTCTACTTCTCTTATTGTGTATTTTTGAGTAGTTGTAAAACAGATCCACAACTTTCACTGAGTAAAACAAAACCCACCTGAAAGTTAGAGCATTACTTTTCATCTGAACCCAGGATTCCCTGTTATTTAGAAGAATTTTGGCAAACTCCCCCCCCACACCTTTTCTCTTATCCCCTGCCAGGAAAGGAATTTCAGTGGGAAACCTTCGGCCCATGTTAGGGTAAAACGCTGTCAGACTCTGATTGTTACAGACAGTTTGGACCCCACCCAAGAAGCTCAGGCATGAGTGTCAGCTGGCTTCTTTTCCTCCGGGAATATAACAAAGAGATGAGCTGCAAAGGTTATCTGGGCTGGATCGGGTTAGCCTGGTCTATTTTTAGTGAGTCCAGTTTGAGGTTAGCTGTATTTATTCAAGAATGTTCTAATGGTTAGGATAAGTGATGGTCAAATTCCATTCAGTGCATATAATTTATGGCCCAACCCTTCCATAAACTCAGAGTGAACGTGCAGCAAATGGGCTCAGACGAGTCATTGTGTCGAGAGGAAGTCCTGAGCAGCTGGAGATCATGACCACAAATGCCTCATCCGCGAGAGTTTGGTCTCAAATGTCACTCTGCGCTTTGTTGAGCAGAGATAAGCAGTTAGACTATCTGCGAGGGCTGAGGGGGGGGAATCCTTCATGAAACTTGCCAAGTCACTCCCCCCTTAGTTCCTGTCTGTCTGCTGTGAGCTTGACTCTGTCATGAGTTGCGGTTGGGGGTGGTGAGGAGAAACGCAGAGAACCCAGGTATGGTGAAGATGATAGTTTAATGATAAATTCACAGTCCAGGACAGGCAGCACGGCAGCAAATTAGCACACAGCTAATACCGGAAGCAACTGACATAAAGACTGACACGAGAAACCTCAGGACTATACAGTTCAACTGAGGAAACTGGCTGACTGACGTAAGACACGACGAATGATGCTAACAACGACGAGGATCTGACAAGAGACGGAGACTACAGGTGGACTTAAATACACACGGGGTAATCAATGGGACGAGACACACCTGGGAGACAATCAACGGGGAGGACAGGACAGAGACTCACAGGGAACAGCACTACACAGAAAAACTCAAAAATAAACACACAAACACAGATCGTGACAGACTCAAACATATCTGCACCGCTATAAGCATCCTTCCTCGTTGTTTTGATCCTAAAAAGACATCTTCAGTTTTAGCTTCTCTCTCATTGATCTAAACCATAAGGGAATTAATTAAATAAATAAATGAAATGGTGCCACCTGTAAGCATTAGCATTTAGCTGGTTAGCGCCAATATGAAGTATACGAGAAGCTAGCTAGAGAAGCCGCCCAAGCTAGAGGAAAGCTTGGAGAAAATAACAAAAGCGAAGCTGCAGTTACTCTTTTGATTTTGTCGATGCGTAGTTGCTCTGTAATGCTGCGTTCCAGTTTAGTGGGAACTTGGAGCTAACAGCGTTTTATAGTTAACATGGTGACGCCCGTAAACGTTGTTAGCAGTACCTCTAACAAACATCATTTATAAATTAAAAGCAACTTTTAATTTGTTGAGTTTAGAGTTACAGGCGCTACATGTAACATTGATTTTAAATGCAGTCTTGCATATGATCTTGTAAAGTAAACATGTTGAGTTGATTTTGGACACCCCTGGTGTAGAATAATCCAATCCACATTTTTAGCATTCGAGATTAGAGATGATCCTTTTAAACCCAGAAATTGTTAAAATGCCAAGCAGGAAAGACATCAGTAGTAATGTTAGAGAAGTTTTTTTCTTTCTGAAAGGAACACGACATCATCACTTAGGCCATTTTGACAGATGAGACCAGTGTGAAGGTATTTTGCCACAATGCAAAAACCATGACGCCGTTTTATTACAAACAACTAAAAACAAGCTATCGAACAAGGCGGCCTGTCTCGCAGCCACATGATCTATGCACCTGTGCAACAATTGAGTTGACGATTCCCTTCGAGGTTTTCTAGAGTCAAATGTGAGGCCATTTGTCTTTTAGCTGAAGCTTGGCCTAAACTGTGTCCCGCAGCAGAATGATAATAGTCCCAAACACAACAGCTAATGAACAATGACAGTAATGTTGTACTGAGAACTTAAGAGAGCTGCGCAGGAAGGAATGCCCACAAACCTCAATAAGCTGAAGCAACGCTTAAAGGAAGTTCAGGTCGAAATTCTCCCACAAAGATGTGAGGAACCGATAAAGTTGTGTAGAAAACTACCACTTCAGTAAAATTCTGCAACACACACAAAAAATGTTTTGCGAAAGGAAAGAAAAAAAAAAGATATTATGAAACATGAAGGTGACTTGTCACGTTAAATAAGACGTTATACCTCACTTGAACCTCTCTCATCATCTGTTCGCGTGAAAAAAAAAAAAAAAAATCAACTGAGATGTCAACCGGTGTTAGAAAGTCCAGATCCCACCAATAAAGAGAAACCCGATCTGTTTTTAGGAGCTTCTAGAGACGGCAGTGACAGACTGTGGATAGAGCTGCGGCTCCGTTTGGTTGTCTTGGATATATAAACACCACAGAAATAGTCTGAAGCTTTGACTGTAAATGGCATGGCAGCATTTGACAGGAACGCCGCTCTGGTAAAAGGATCTGCTCTCTAATGTAGCGAGACTTTCTGTCTGCATGCTGTCATTAATTTCTGTGTTGGGATGTTTTTGCCTCTGTACCACAGTGGGAAACCTCAAAATGACCCTGGCCTGTCTCCTGTTAGCTTTCAGCCGCACATTAGAGTGTGCAATTTGCTCTGAGCTCTAACTCGTATGTGTGTGTGTGTGTGTGTGTGTGTGTGGTGTGCGTCTCAGGAGTGACGTGGGGGAAGGTGGTTTCCTTGTACACCGTGGCGGGATCCCTGGCAGTGGACTGTGTGCGCCATGGTCATCCAGCCATGATTGACACCATCGTGGACTGCATGGGGGAGTTTGTCCGCAAGAGTCTGACCCCCTGGTTGAAGAAAAGAGGAGGCTGGGTAAGGAAAGCACTCACCCATTTCGAGAGATGCACCGATCACAATTTAGTAAAGCCTTCGATCCGCCAACACCAAAAAGCTGCTCTTTTTTTAAAGAGCTGCTTTTACCCAAATTCATAATATTAAGTGGTTAATTATTTCATCCGTTCAGGCTTAACATCAGGAGCACTGACAGATTGTGTCTTCATCATGATATGTATTAATTGGTGGGATTCAGTAGCCAGAAACTGGACATCTGTTTCCATTAAAGTTGACTCTTAAGCAGAAGACATAAGACTCTCAGTAGAAATTTTAGCATCTTTTGGTTGTTGTCAGTCTGAGTAGTATCTAAGACGATCATTTAAAATCAGTAGTGATTTTTATTTATTTCTTCTCTTTTTTTTGGTTAAACAAATCTCACGCATGGAGGTAACTTGCACCTTACGGGACTTAAAGCTCGACACAATGTTTGGTTCATCACCAAAATATGCCGGGAATGTTGAAAGAAAATTCTTTTCTGAAGACTCGCGGTCCCATTCTTCATTATTGGCAGTGTACCCTGATATAGGCTGCATCCTGTAGATCTTTCTGTTCCTTTTGACTTTTTTTTTTTTTTGTGTGTGTACCAGATAACTTTGCACCAGTCTTTCTGCTACCCATCTATGTACAGAACTGTTTGTCCTTTCGTGTCTTTCTTGGGAAAGAAGCAGTTTCTTTGCTGCTCTTTTGCTACAAGGCCATTCCCCAAAAAGTCTACACATCAAAGTGCTTGCAGTTGCACTCCCACCCACCTGTTGGCTCATCTTGAGCAATTTCTATTTGATCTAATACTCTGATCTCCAGGATGTCCTGAACCCCCAGCAGCTTTGTTTTGCTGGTTACATTCTGATTCAATGTTGCTTCCATCTGGAACCATTCACACCGATTCTGCCTCAGACCTCCTCTTTGCTCAGCTGCTTCTGGGTATTCTCGTTGATATGAGCTAACATCTGCAGCTGGTTGATCAAAACCTATGGATCTTTAAATTATGGCTGACCTTTACACAGACAAAGTTACAGAGGAAAAGAAAGATGTAAATATAAATCCTAGCTTTTGCACCGTATGACTTGAATCGTGGGAAAGTGGATTCGCAGGAAGTTCCTTTTTTAGATAAACATAAGGCAGAGGGAATAGTCCCGTTCATTTCAGTGCGTTTCAGTGTTCTAACAACAGAGTTGGACACGGTGGACGAAGAGCGACCGACAACGTGCCTCTGTCTGCGTTTGCTGGAAAGGCGGCTGTTTGCTCAGAACCGCGGCTCGCATGCCTGCGGTGTTTTGAGGAGAAGTGGAGTGTGACAAAATGATGAGCGGCGTATTGTGCCTCTGACCTCACAAGCTCAAATGAGGGAGCGACCTGTTTTTGAGCGGAGCGCCAAACCAGATCCAGAAAGTTTTCCACAGAGAGGCGGGCAGGCAGCCTGTCGGGAACCCGAGAGGGGGATCTGAGGATGGAGACGTGTTTAGTGTCAGGGCTGATGCTGCGCCGTTCTGCCTGGGGAATGTCACTCTCTGTCAAGCTAGTTATGTAAGCCGCCTTGGAAGAGCAGTTGGAAGCATTTAACTTTTTCCACATTTTGTCAAATAGCATAAGCGTCAAGGTGCTTAAGATTTTATGTGATAGACCAACATTAGGAAGAGCATTACTGAAAATTCATTTAAAAAAAAGAGAGAGAAAAGTGTGGAGTGTGGCACACATTTATCGTCTCAAAGTTTTGTAAGAACATTAGTGAACAAACGGCATCATTACCTTTCTTTGTGTTGGTCTAACGCTGTTTTACAAAGAGGAGGCCGCCAGGGGGCGCTGTGGTGGCTTCAACAAGTTGGAGGGAAGATGAGGGGGGGGGGAATGCAAAAAGTAATAAAAAACTTGAATCCCATAATTTTTTTAATCTTACATTTTTTCATCATGATTTTTCAATCTTTCTTTTTCTTAAAATCTAATTTCAAACAATAGATCTAAATGCTCTTTGGGGGGGTGGAAGGACATGACATAGAAAAGCTTGTCATGTTGTCTAACATGCAAATTTCCAGTAAACAAACTGAAGTTTATGGCTCCAATGTTGGGTGAAAAGTTTTCCAAAGCCTTTTAACCAGTGAGACAGTTTTGTTTCAAGTCAGTGTCCTGTTCGTTAAGCTACATAAAGTTATAAATTATTTTCATCCTGACAGAGCTGGCTGATCCTCCTCGCTGTGAACCCCGTCTGTGCCGCCTGCCTCTGTCCACGTCTTCCTCCAAAACGTCTCTTAAGATCTCTGTCTCCCTACAGGTGGACATCACGAAGTGCGTGGTGAACACCGGCTCCTCCTTACACTCCCACTGGTTGGTGTCTGCTGCCTTTGCATTCGGACATTACCTGAAGGCCGTGGTGTTGTACCTTCTCAGAGAGAAGTGAAAGACTCCGCCAGCGCCACGAGGGCCTCCATGGGACCAACGTTTACACTGTTTTGCACTGAGCCTCGGTCGACGGGCCGCTGATCTCCTGTCTATTTATTGTTTGCACTGCTTGTGTTAGGGCACGCTTTTTAAATTGAGTTTACACAATCACACTTTCGGACTCTTTTTTTTTTTTTTTTTTTGAAAGAAGACTTTTTTCTCTCTCAAGCTGCTGCACTGTATGTATTCCTGTATGGGTGAGTTGCATGCCATCTTGTGGTAATTAGGGGTAAATGCTTCACATCAATGAATAACCAAGACATATTCATGAGATTCTAAGTTGAACAAAGATTACCACGTCTCATCGTGGCGGTATTCATAACACAAAAAGGCAATTCTGCTATTTGACAAGAGTGTGGAGAAAATTATTAGAGAGGTTAAAGTTCAAAACATTGAAATGATTTGAGGGAAAGCAGTTCAAAACTGTATTTTGCCATGAAGTACAAAAGTAAACTAAAGAGTGCCTTGCAAAAGTATTCAAAGCCGTTAAGAGTCACATTTTTTTGATGTCACAACCACGCAGTGTAACCTATTTTAGGGGACAGACCAAAACCAGATACTGTTTATGTTTTAAATAGCTAACTTTATTCTTGACTGCTGTTTTCCTTAATTCTTGTTCACTAATGCTCTCTATCAGAGGCCTTCAGCTGAGTTTATACCAAGATTAAATTACACACAAAGGCGGACTCTATTTGCTAATTAGGTGAAATTTGAAGGCAGCTGATTGAATTTGAAAAGTGGGTGGAAAACAAATGCAAAACACTTTTTTTTGTTAATAAAGCATGTGTAAATTTCCTTCCATTTCAAAAACATGAACAACGTTTAGTTTGTCCATCACTTATAATCCCAGTAAAATACCGTAAGGTTTTCAGATGTTAGACATTCCAAGGAGGTTAAATACTTTTGCAATGCTCTGATTCACATGGGAATTTCATTTTTTTTTATATCAAAGAACAAATAAATTATTTAAGAAACATTAAAGATGAGTTCCTAGTGAGGTGTTTCTGACCAAGTTTCCCTCCATCTCTATGGTTACCACTATTGTTGCTGCACTGTAAAAGGAGCTGTTAAGCGATGATACTCATGCAGATTGTAAATAGATTTTATTCCATGAATAATGTCACTGCTGTGTGTAGCATTAAGCAACCTATTAAATAAATGTTTGTCAGAACTGTAAATAGTAATAAATGGTATAAAATTGATTTTTCATTTGTTGCAAATGACTTTTTCTTTGTAATTTAATGTAGAAATGAGGATGTTTTAGATTTTTCTTACTCTTCACTATGCAAAGATAATGACAATATTGTATTAATACTTATTTTATGAAGTTTACTCCACCCAGCTATTTTCCTCTTTGCTCTATTTTCAAGATGCAGTCGCCAACTAACCTTATTTATCTTCAGAAGCTGTTTTTAGCTTCAGATCTGTGGTTGATGCACACAATTTAAACATGATCAAGCTCATGGATGGCTCATCTCCTTCCACATATTATTACAATACTGGGATATTCTAATGGCGTTTTTGCTTGTAGGTCATTGTTTTAGCCACATTATCTAGGAAATGTAGCTCAGGATCAACCAGACTAGCAGAGCTCCAGAGTTTTTGAGATTTTTCAGTGAGTTTGAGGTATCTCTGACACATCCACAGGTGTTTCTCTAATTAACATGGATGCGAATTGGCCTATCAGAAGCTTACAAAGTCATTGCATCATCATTTGGTCTTTGTGCTTTTGTTGATAGTAATCTCAGTGCATGTCAGATAAGAAATCTCTTGGAATATTCTGCCATTAGGAACATATTTTGGGAATAGAAACTGACCTAAACCATGTGAGAAATATGCCAATTTTCTTTTTAAATTTTTTACTGTGAATGTTGAAATTTGGTTTCAGTTATTTTAACTACCATTAACTACCAAAGCTTTATTTTTAATTTCACTATGACTCTACTTCACTGGCCAACACAGCAGCATGGTTGTTATTGCCTTCAGGGTCCTGGGTACAAATCTCACCTTGGAGATTTTCCGCATTGAGTTTGCAGGTTCTGCTCCCTGCACATGCGTGGGTTTCCTCCCACAGACCAAAAATATGTGCCATATGTTAATTTGTCTCTAAATTTCTCTTAAGAATGAGTGTGAGTGCTTTAAAGCTATATAGTAAAAATAATAAAACATTCTGAGGCGGTTGTTGTTCCAAAAACAAATGTTTTCACAATTGAATCATGATTCATTGGGTTTTAGGCCAACTGACATCTTCCCGCTCTCTAGTGACATGCGGTCAGGGGAGGCAGGTGAGGCAGAGTCTCATCTATCGTCATGGAAAAATAATATATAATAATAAAATCATTTATATTGCTATTTTCACCCTGTGGTTTGTACTATAAAGTATCTATTTTTTACTTAGCTTAACCAATTCTGATTAGTTTTTTCTTAAAAATCGCTGGATTTTAGCATTTTCCCATTCAAATGCTCAGAAGTGAAGCCGGTGAGGCAGCAGTGAGCTGAGCCTCACCTGGGATTCCGCAACCTCTCGATAACTGCACTGGCTGCCATTCTATGGGGGCATGTTCGTCCTGTCTGTACACCAGCAATAAAATGGCTAAAAAACATTTAATATATGGACTGATTTTCCATAATTTCGCTTATGTATATAATGTACATTGTTTGTATCGTTTTTTGTGTGCGGAGGAGCGATCAGAAACGGCAGAGAACAGACTCC